AAATCAGTTACACTAAATCAGAGGGGTTGAAGGAATAGGGATGATGGACTGATTGAGTCATGGAGAAGAGAGAACAGAGAACTGGAGAGAACATTGAAGTGCTTAACATATTTGATCGATTCCATCAAAAAAAAAGGGGGGGTGGGGGGGAGCCCCTATTGGCCCTAACTATCCTTCACCACTACAATACGGTGGTGTTTGTTTGTGTGTTTTCTTTTCTAACAGGTCTATATAGCCTATTTTGTCTGCGCCTCGCAGACATTAATCTTCATAAACATAATCTGTAAGCAAACGCTTAGTAATTTTCCCACAAAGTACAACATACCAATATAAAAATTAATGTTATGGGTCAAACCATAGTCTTATGTATAATTCTTGCCGAGGCCCAGATCCCGATCTTCCATACAGTTGCCAGGGGCCAGATCCTGGTCTTTCATGCAACTGCCAATTGCCAATGGCTAAATCCTGGTCTTTCATACAGGTGTCAGGGGCCAAACCCTGGTCTTTCATACACATATCACACAAGTAATCCATATCCTATAAAATAAATAATGGGCTAGCCTTGGTGCCTTCGACCCATTAATATAGTGAGAAAACTCACCTCAGTCTGTTGGTAGCAACAAGATGCTCGACTACTAAACAGGAAGATCCCACACTACACAATCAATTATCCCTAATCAGAATTAGGTCACAATGCCAAATAATGGGCCTAAGCCCTAAGTCCAAACTTCTAAAAATAAGGGCTTAAATGCTTTATCCCCTTGATGGGCCTAACCATTCCTTGCTCACATGCAATAACGGGCTCCAAGGCCTAAAAGGCCCAATTACTACACTTAAGGCCCATTAGAAAATTGAAAGGCCCACCTACTCTAAATAGATGAAGGCCCAAAACCAAATAAGGCCCAATGACCCAAAAGCCCAACACAAGTCCAAAAGCTCACTGGGAGCGTATGATCGACGTAACCCCAATACGCTTAACATACTTAACCGCCATGCAATATGTGTTGCGTACACCTTGGTACGCTCAACATACTATGCTGCACAACACCTTCAACCATTTGTGCTTAATCCATGTAGTCACTTAATCTCACTTCCAGATCTCGGTCAATAGAGGGTCCTAGGGAATAAAGTTGGCAACTTTATGCCTTAGCATGTCTTATGAGAGTCCAACATCCATTTTTGTTGATCAAAGCTCATTTAAAGGACCTAGATTCATGTATGGCTTCATATCAACCTCCAAGATAACATTTTTATGCTTCTAACATGCCAAGGGACTAAGATCTAGCATGTCTAGCTTCTGGAGTTACCCAAACTCACAAAAGAGAATCTATGGACAAAAAATGAGCTTATAAACAAACCCTAACTCTGACTAACACAATGAACAATAAGTTATGAGCTTTTTACCTTCAAAAGCTTCCTAAGATGATGTAGATTTAGGATCTAGAAGCTCAACCACGTCCAAAGCTTGCTCACCAACTTCTTTTTCTTGCAAACACACAAAAAAAGCAACTAAAGACACTTTCAAGCTCAAAGATCACTCTCAAAGGCAACTAGGGTTTAGCGACGTTTAAAGGAAGTGGAGACTGATAAGAGTGAGGGTCCGAAGGTTATAAGTGTGCTTAAATAGGATGCATGCCCTAAAATTAGGGTTTTAGCCATTGACTACGTACGCCCAGCGTACGTGGCTCATTGTCTCGACTCCGAATGCCCTTGTACGCTAAGGGTACATAGACGCACACCCAACGTACGAAGGATCTCTTTCGCAATAAAATTATTATCCCAAGGACTAAAAGGTAAAATACTTTAATCCGAGTGTTACATGAAACTAAAGTCTACTAACAACTTCAAACAACTTCTAGTTAAGAGCAACAACTAGATTAAAAGTTATCATTCAACTAGAAGACCATGAAAAAAGAATGATTGAGTCCATTTCAAAAGATCGAAAAAGGAAACCAAGGGGAATGTAATAAGTTAGACCTTAGTTAGGAGTCGGGATATCCCGTACTACCCCTAAAATTTTCAGACACTATGGAAATTTTGAGAATTTTTTTTGGTGCAGAGTAATTTTTTCGGTATGTTATCTCTTAAAATTTACATGTGCTACCCCTGACATTTCGTTCTAGCTCTGCCATTGGATGTAAAAAAGGGCCAACACTTGACTTTAAAAGAATTAATCACTCCATAGTAGTCAAAGGACGATTGAACAATATTGAATTGTAGGTTGCTCGAGATATATGTAATAAGCCTTTAGATTATATTCAATAACCATTAGAATTAGCACTATAACATCGCAACTTAAAAGCCATAAGAAAATTTAAAATGTCTCATCGTTTTCAAATTATAGTAAACATGCTATGAGGTGTATTATGATTATTAATATGAAAATTTACTTTTTAGATGTATGTAACATCTAACTTTCATGTATTGTTCTGCGACATCAATCTTCGTTTTAGTATCACTATCCTTAAATTGTGATTGACCACGACACAGTGGTTGAGAGCACCGTGATGCTACCACATCACCTAAGGGGCGGCATGGTCAAGTGTTGGTTGCAGCGTATTGACTGTTGGGTTCAAAACCATAGGTCTCGGGCCTTGACTCCTATTTAAGGGATGTGATGACCATGGTTCTCTCCACCCTCAACCTCTATCACCTCCAGGGAAACCCTATCCCCGACTCCATAGTTCTTGAGATTTTGGTGGTTTTAACCTTAATTTCTCCATTTTAGTGAAGAAGTGAGTGGAGAAAGAGTTTGTGGTTGCATTAAAGTTGGGTTCACGGATCCAAATTTCCTCCTTGTTTTTGAGCTGTTGGAGGTATAAAGTTTCTACCTTTGAATCGTTTTTAGTTAGATCTAGTTATATACTATTTTAGCTCCCTTTTTTCCATTTCATTGAGGTCCTTGGATTTTAGGGGACTCTAAGACATTTCTCTTGATTAAATCATCTTCTAGACTTGTTTCATGGAAGAAAAATGTCTATGTGTGCTTCTCCTTCAAGCCATGCATGAGTTTTGGTCCTAATCTTAGTCAGGGTTTAGTATTTTGGTTTATGGAGTGAAGGAGATGGATAAAGTTAGAAACTTAATCCATGCATATAGTAAATCGATCTAAATCTAAAATCTAGGACCGTTGACTTTCGGGTTAAGAGCTTAATGAAATAAGTTATTATGAACGTTCAACCTGGTGCGGTGAATGGCTAGTTGCAGTGCATACACGAGGCCCAGTCGTGACTACCATGTCTTTTATTAACTGTGATGCAATCAAGGAGTAGGTCGTGACATGGTGATCGGTGACGGTTGGCCGTTGTCCATTGACTTTTAGACCAATTTGACTTATGGTTAAACTTTAGGGTTTGGGGATTGACCTTTGATTTAAAATGTTTAGGTGATTTGTAATATCGACCTTCACTTTTCCTACGAGTTGTGGTGATTATGTGATTTTCTAGGAGGTGAGTCTCTCACTATACTGTGTAGGACATGTAGTATCTAAATTTTTTTGTTATTATTTGTGAATTTCATGAAAGACTATTAGGGGACCATAGTGTATTATATGAAAGACTATTAGGGGGGGGGGGGTATCGGGAAGGACTGCAGGGGAATTGTACCAACATAAGTGATTGTAAGAGTACGGGTGGACCGTAGTATTCACATGGTTTGAAATACACCCCTAAGACATGGCCCATTGTTATTATTATATATGTGGTATCTTGGAAACTTCATTAAACTTTGTGTTTATGCTTTAAGTTTTAAATGGTTTAGGTACTTCAGGTAGCAAAGGAAGACCTGACTTGATTGCATCTTATCCACTAGAGATTTATGTACTATCTATATTTATGATTTTACTATGATATTTGGTTTTTGGAACAAAATGAGAGGGTTATAAGAATGGTTCTAAAAGGCGTGTGTCGTTGCGAGACGGTAAAACCAAGCCTCAAGCTTTATGAGTCATGACATTTTTCAAAGTGTTATATAATATGGCGATTTTGCATTAATTTATAATTATATTACCATATAAATATAGATTTATATCAAATATAACCAGTTTTTAAAAGTGTTATATCAACAACTAATAATAAAATGTTAACAAAAAACTCATTAGTTGTATACCCAGTATGAAAATGTATAACAAAGACTTAAAAAAACGTGTTTCAAACGAAAAAAAACCCGTATCATAACACGTCATAACGCGCCAAGACACGTCATATCACATATTGTCATGCGCCACGAATAATGTCATGAAGCTTTTCCTAACCGCAAAGTTGCGCCATACCTTGATGCGTGCCATGAGATCTTTTAGAATAGTGGTCGAGAGTTGAGACCTTAGGATGTGGCTTGACAAGAATACTGCCTATTAGGCATCTCAAACACCATGCCCAATAAATGCATGACAAAATGAAAAGGAAATTGACAACACCTTGCTGTTTCTCTATTCTCCTTGGCAAAGTGGTAAACCACACCTCTTGTTTTGCAAAGAAATTGATGAGATGGTAATGTCAGATTTTTTTTTTTTTGATACCACACCCTTTGATCTAAAACGTTATAATATATGTAGATTAAATTTAGGTTTAATAAATAATTTTTTTAATTTTGAAAAAATAATAAATAATAGAAATTGAATTCCATGACAAAAGTTGATACAACTATTTTATCTTGGGATGAGCTTACAAGATCTTTTCGACGAAAAAAATATCTCACACAATTCAAATTAAATACTTTAATTGTTTTTCTTTAAAATATCAATGACCCTCAGATATTTTTGCTGCTGTTTTTCTTCACGCCCTCTTTAGCACGAACGTGTGTTGCAATCGCTCCAATGTCGACTTCGCTATACGCCTATACCTTTTATCGTGACACGTGTACACCTCCATCGGGCGCGTTTATAAGCTGCAAATTCTCTAGCGCGTGGGACTATGCAATTAGCATAGCGTAACGTGGACAAAAAAAGGGTATGATAAAGTGAAACCGCCCTTATAAAAAGCGGATCCGCCATATCTCTCCATTCTCCAACCCAAAATAATCGTTCGCCGGAAATATTATCAAACGGTTGCCGGAATCCATGGATCTAAACTTTGTAATGGATGCAAAAAGAGCTTACAACGATCATAGATGGACGAACGAGAGGCACCTTCATTTCCTGAAATCTGTAGAGGCTTCGTTCGTTCGAACAATGCTGGAGAACAGCGACGATCGCGTTTTTCTTCCGATGGATCGGTACTCGCCGGATAGTTGCGAATCGACGTTAGACTCGAAGCGGATGAAGACGGCGCCGACTGGTGCGAAGAGAAGAAAAAGGCAGTTTCCGGCAGGTATGTTTGATAATGTAAGAGAGATGCATCACCATTGATAAAATTCTAGGTTAACAATACGAATCGTAACAGAAAACATGTATCGATTTCTCATGATCTTAACAGATTTATCAAAAATTTTATAGAATTTGTTAGATCGTGGAATTTCCGGTTGATAGAAGTTGATGCAGTTATAAATTTTTTAATTATAATTTGTTTATATTAAACAACCTTTGTTAATTACTAAAAAAATCATCACTAGTTGAAACGAATTTATCAACACACATGATGTCATGATTCATAGATCAAGCAACTAATATGTATAAGATTATCGTAAATGATTATCAAGAAAAATAAAAGAAAGTATTATAGAAGATATTTTGAGGCCTCTATATTTTATTTGTTTTATTTCTCTTTTCCACAATTAATTAATGCTATGTTAATTTAATCAGTTGAAAAAAGAGTCAGAAGATTACGCCTCCAATTTTCCTCTCCGCATGAAGAGGATCAGGTAATATTATTATTATTATTATTATTATTATTATTATTAAAAATGGATGTTAATATCTATAATTATATGCAAAAAAATTACAGGTAGTTCCAGAGATTAAATACATAAAAACGGAAGATGATGACAACAAGTGGACAAGTTCTTGATAGTTTTGTTTTAGCTTATAACACGATAGGTCGGTTTTTGATTGGTGTTAGGGATATTATTAATTTATTGGTTAATTATATTAAAAAAAAACCTTTGATTAATATTATTTAGATATTTACATTCTTAATTTTTAAGATATTTTAGTATACAGCCAACTTGTAAATTGTTTGGTTTGCGGTTATATTCTTTTTCATGTTGTAAATATCTAATTTATGACTTCTTCCAAGTTGTAGTAATAATTTCTTGGTGGCAACCTAAATATATAAAATATTCAAACTAAAAGTACCCATTAAATATACTATTATTCAAGAGATAATTCAATGCAATTAAACAATAAAAACTGGACCCATCACCGCAATTCTTAATATCTATGATAGATTATTGTCATTAGGTTGAGGAAGTCCATCGATTCTATCTCTTTCAACCGATATGGCATGTAGGAGTTATATCAGTATTTTCTTTTTTATTTTATTTTTAATCCACAATATATATATATATATATATATATATATATATATATATATATATATATATATATATATATATATATATATACTCAAAGTTTCCCGAAAACTCAATGTGGAGTGTTGGATTAAAAATAATTCGTTAAGGACATGATCGTTATCTTAACAATCAATTTTTTTGTTATTTAATATATCAATATAAATATCTAAAAATTAACAAACTAACTCAAAATTTTGGATTTATTATTACTTTTAAAATAGTTTTTGATTTTTAAAAAAAATGGAGATTTTTTAATTTTTTTCAAAAAACATGAATTTTTCAAAAAAAAATGAAAAAAATATTTTTTAAAAAACTGCATCTTTTTTTTTTAAAAAAAAACTGCATTTTTCTAGAAAAAAGCTGTATTTTTTTCAAAAAAAAAAAAAAAACGATTTTTATAAAATAGTGCAATTTTTTTCAAAATTGCATTTTTTTTAACAAAAAAAATCAATAGTTTTAGGTGCATATATGCATATTTTTTCAATTGCATATATGCATATTTCTTATACTATAATATTCGTAAGTAAATTAAAAAAACCTCATTTTTATTAATCAATCGATAAACATAATACAAATATTTTATTCGATACAAAATAAAATATAAAAAAAACTACAAAGATTCACAGTGTTATCATATCTTCATATCAAGATTTCCATATTTTCTTCAATTTATCACTTTTCACATCTTCAATATTTTCCAAAAAATCTTCAAAATCTACAGAAAAATAAAAAAAATTGATTAATGCGAGAACATACAGATGTATATATAATGTAAGATTCACATGTGATTATATAATGTGATATTCACATGTGATTGTATCTTTTAAGATTTAAATGTGAAATTCACAAGAAAAATTTTAAAAAATAATTAACGAATAACACTTACACAAAATGCATGTGTGCATATAGACGTAATTCATATGTGATTCACTTATGAATTACATGTAATTTATATGTGATTCACTTGTGATTTACATGTAAATTTACATGTGATTAATATATGAATTACATGTGAATCACATATAATTCATATGTGATTAACTTGTGAATCACATGTAATTCATAGGTAATTCACTTGTAATTTACATGTGAATCACAAATTAATCATATGTGAATTACATGTGAATTGCATGTTTTTTACATGTGAATCACATGTAATTCGTATGTAATTCACTTGTGATTTACACGTGAATCACATTTAGATTGTATTTACATGTGAATCACAAGTGAATCATATGTGAATTACATGTGATTAAAATGTGAATCACATGTAATTCATATGTGATTTACTTGTGATTTACATCACATATAAATTACATGTGAATCACATGTAATTGTGATTCACTTGTGATTTACATGTGAATCATATGTAAATTACATAAGATTTATATGTGAATCACATGTAATTCATATGTAAAGTTTGCAACCAAAATACTTCAATAAAATTATATTTTCATTTATATATTATACTAATGGATTAGTTTATTGGTCACCGAATCAGAAATCAATGATGGAACAAGAAATATCCCAAAGAGTAATTAAAATATACCTCTTTCCTCAATGTAAAATGAACAAAATCCAAACGAAAATGATTGTTATACTTTGATGAGACATTTAATTTTATAGGAATTCTAATTTTTGGAGCATCAATGTCAATATTAAGAGCAAATCTGCAAATGCAAGAAGAAATACAGGAAATTAGCAAACTTTTTTTTTTTTGTAATAGTTTTATGAAAGAGCAAGATATTAGTTTCTCGTATATATAGTTAAATTTAGTAAAATTCATCCAACTATACCTACAAAGCAGTTGCTGTTTCATAAGCAACTTTAGGGCTAACAAAATTGTTCCTCTTCATAAATTCCAGAAAATGGAAGGAATTACATTCATTCAAGATTCGTCCATTCCAATGGAATGATTCATTCTACAAGAAGAAATACAGGAAATTAGTAAATCTTTTTTTATGGAATAGTTTTATCAAAGAGCAAGATATTAGTTTCTCATATATATAATTGAATTTATTAAAATTTATCTAACTGTACCTGCAAAACAGTTGTTGTTTTATGAGCAACATTAGGGCTAACAAAATTGTTCCTCTTCATAAATTCCAGAAAATGGAAGGAATTACATTTATTCAGGAATCGTCTATTCCAATGGAATGATACATTTCATTCCTTCTCCATCATACCAAGGCTGAGCTCTTTGAGGGCTGCATAAATCCTACATGGCATTTTCCTTACAATCTTTGTGATCATGTAGTATACAACCAAACAAGACCCCACTGCAGCCATTGCCAAAGGGGTGTCTTTCGTGCTCTGAAAAAGATAACACAAGTGTAACATCCCAAAAATACGGGCCAAAAATTTCATTTTTAAATTAAGTGATTTGCAAAACGTTTGTAACAACATATCATACGATATTAACTTTTAATAAAACATGTCTTGTGACCGTAAACCAAAACGTAAAACATAATAATGTCTGAGTACAAAATCCCAGAATGACACATGGTACGGAAAACAAAAGCGTATGTGTGATGCGCCGCTACCGCACCAACTCCTTCCCATTGACAGAAGAGGTACCTGAAACAACAACTGAAAACTGTAAGCACGAAGCTTAGTGAGTTCCCCCACCGTACCACATACGATAACCACATAACATACATATATTGTCAGGCATATCTGGGTGCCCGACCTACCCCTTCGATCCTCTCGACCGGGAACTGACTAGCATATCTAGGTACTGGCCTCCCCTTCGGTCCTCTCGACCGGATACTGACTAGCATATCTGGGTGCTGGCCTCCCCTTCGGTCCTCTCGACAGGATACTGACTAGCATATCTGGGTGCTGGCCTCCCTTTCGGTCCTCTCGACCGGATACTGAGGACTATTTCACCCCCTACTACTACCACAAAACACATATCATATAATCTACCTAGCATAGTTGGGCATGACCGCCCCTTCGGCCCTATCGACCGGTAATCTGGGGACTATCTCCCCTACTGTCACTAGCACATAGCATCATATCATACTAGCACATAAACATAGCACGGGTAGTAGCAACCCTAGATGAATATCACAAAGACAATCATCTAACATACAACTCCTACTAGTGGGCCGGTATTGTGGCTGTAGACCCACCGCTACTGGAAGGTAACTCACCTTGTAGTAGCTGCTGATCTGCGTGGGAACTGTCTGTCTGCTGCTGCGGCTGCTCCGGAAATCCTCCGGCTGCAATTTCCCACAAAATACTCAATCAAACACTGCTAACTGCCCTTGGGGTAAAATAACCATTTACCCCTAACCAAGTCAAAGTCAAAGTCAACTACCTGACTCGTCGGGTTCGCTTGACAACTCGCCGAGTCCCTATCCTTCCCATTTGTCCTCATACCCGACTCTACTCGTCGAGTTATCCTTCTAAACTGATGACCAATGATCCTTCATCCGACTCGCCGAGTTGTATAATCAACTCGTCAAGTTCGTCTTCATCCGAAGAATACTCTAGCCTGTGACTCGCCGAGTTGTATGAACAACTCGTCGAGTATGTTCTTGAGGTAAGAAGATTGCCTTGTACTCGCTAAGTCAGGGCATTAACTCGCCGAGTCCCTCCATAGATAAGTCTGGCTTCTGACTCACTGAGTCCACCCATGACTCACAACTCCACTCAGGAAACACGAAAAAGAGGAAAACGCGGGGACTCGCTACTCGACTCGCCGAGTCATTCACATGCAATTACTATATACTCGATTTTGCTTGAATCTAGCTCATGCCATACATAGATCTGAGTTCTTAGGGTAGGTTTTACACGTAAAGTTTCCAACTTTATGTGTATACATGCATAGAATGGGGATTTAAGGCCAAATAAGGGCTAAAATGGTAGATCTAGAACATTCAAGCAATATGCTTCAATAAAGGCCCTGAATCCGAGCTTCTGGAGCTCAAACATGCTTATATCTAGAGGTTACACAACTCATTACAAACCCTAATCCATACTCAAGCTTGGAAATGGTTCAAGAAGGACTTTAATGGTTCTCTAAGGGACTTTAAGTATAAAAACAGAAGAAACTGAGTTATACCTCAATGAATCACTGAAATATCACCAAGATATTCAACCTCCTTCTTCTCCTCTTGATCTACTCTTCTTCTTCTCTCAAAATCTTCAAGAAATCACACCAATACACTTCAATCTCACAAGAAAAAGGGGTTAGGACGATATAGGGAGCTCTAAGGGTGAAGGAGTCGGGCTTGGGGCGCATAAGGTTGGTTTAAATAGGGTGCAAACCCTTGAAATTAGGGTTTCATCCAGACAGCGGGGAATTGCTGAGTCCAGAATATGGACTCGCTGAGTCGCCAACTTAAACGTGATCAATGTCCCGTCACTACTCGGCGAGTCGGGCCTACAACTCGCCGAGTCCAAGGCTAAAAATTTAAATCACTTAGATAGATTATACGTACCAGGAACCAGGTGCTACAAATCTCCGCCACTTATTTTAGACTTTGTCCTCGAAGTCTGCTGCTCGATCCTGAAACAGCTCGGGGTAATGTTCCATCATTTT